AGCTCTATATATGTCAAGTTGAAGCCCTGTGCATAAAAAACGCATCATCTGATCAAATTGGTCTTGGCTATCTTATCTCAAAGCACGAAATGTTCTGTTTTGAGAAAACAGTATTTAAAACATTTAAACTTTTGCTTGAATATCTTATATTTCGAAAAACAGTATAAACTTTACGGTCTAAATTTAGTTTACACGGTCTAAATTTAGTTTGCACGAAAGTTGTAAACAACACCATATAAGGATAGACATTCCATATTTGGAAAAACGAACGTTACGGGGCAGATATTCAAATTCATTAGTCATCGATGCAGGCTCTCAATTCAGCTTGAGAGCCTGTTCGCAGGCTAATTATTAAACTAACATTTCAAGACTTTTCAATTTTCAGACAGTCAAGGCGATGGCAATTGGAAAGAAAGGCAGGGTTCATGTTGAAGATATTGTGTTTCTAATCCGTAAAGATCCCAAGAAATATGCCAGAGTGAAAGTAAGATTATTCCACTTTGCAGGATTTTTTTTCTTTTTAATAAGGAAAAATATAGCATGCTCTTATGCATACCAAAATCCAGTATACTCGTGTGCATAGATTGACAGATACTCACGACCATAGATAGACAACCTCACTCTCATGAATCGTGATTGAGTGAGTTTTTTCTAGTGCTGTGCAAACTCTGGTTTTTCATCTCCGGCTCCGGCCGAATTACAGCTCTGAGCTCCGGCCACATCATAAAATATTAAGTAAATGTTTTACGATCAGAGAACATTTATTAATATTATTATGAATAACCCTTTTCGCGCTTCCTAATTATCAGATAACATAACTCAGGAAACAAAACAGTGAAAACACTTAACCACGCAGAAAATATCTATATGGAAACCAGCCTCGAAAAATCTTTGACACGAGGCGCATGACGTGAGGCATGACGCTAACACTCTCAGACTCCACAGCCCAATTGTTCGCACGCAAACAAAGTACTCTGCCATTTTCAAAAGGTTGATATTTATTTGTTTTGTACTTTTTCGTTATCTATACAAGGCATGAATACACAGACTACAGTATGTAGCGCTAAGTCAGATGGCTTCATGAAAGCACGACGTTTGTAAGTTGCGATCGTATTACAGCTTTTCGACGCTGTTCCTGTGGGCTGTGGCAGTTTGAGTCTATGATGAATTCATTAACAGCAATTGTCGGTTTGAGTAACTAACAATCGTTTGACATTTGTCTCATTTCATATTGTTTTCTTGTCATTTTGCCGGAGCCGGGAATACGTAACTCCGGCTCCGTGCTCCGGCATACAAAATTCTGCTCCGGCGTCGGAAAAACCGCCGGAGCTCCGGCAGAACTCCGGCTCCGGCAACTCCGGCGCACAGCACTAGTTTTTTCCCCTCTTATCTGCCTGACTAATATACGAGAGTTGAGAAAACTCTCATGCAAACCCTTGCGTGCCAACTCTTATCAACTCGCATCGTAGTTTAGACCAGCGCTTGACTCAACCAGTTGACATTATATAATTCTAAGCATGCTAAACTAGTTTTGTTTCTTCAGGATTTGTTGACAATGAATGAAGAATTGAAGAAGGCCAGGAAGGCGTTTGACGCAGAGAGCTATGGAGAAATTAGCTAATACACCGGTAACATTTAACTATGTAAAGACGAAACTTTTAAACGGTTGCAATCTCGCCCCTTTTAGCTATTTGGCAATATACTTGATTTTCGATGCAAGCATAATGTATGCTAGTGATATGCGAATGTCTCAGGCAATGAAATTCCATTGTCTGTTGTTTTATAATTTTAAATAAAATTATAGACATCATAAACTCGTGAATGAGTTATAAAAATAAAGATCAGTAACAGAAGGGCCACTCAGCGTTTTTTTATGCAAAAATATGCAGTTTACTGGCCAGAAGGCGGAGCAGCCAGCCTGTACAGCGTGTTTATTGGCCAGAAATAACATTGACTGGCTAGAAAAATGGCGGCCAACATGCGTAATGCGACGTGCGCGAGGACAGAAACTTGAAAGCTTCCGACGTAAGTGACCCTTCTATATGGATCTTGATTCTATGTCTATACTTCGTATATACGTCGCAAGTTTAGTAAAACGTGGGTTCGACTGTATAAGTAATATACCATAAAACTTATCAAGAATATCAAAACAGCATTCCCTCTTTTCTGAAGATGAAATTTTACTACGCCCGCATACCATAATTTTACACTGCACTTTGCCTTCACAGTATACACCCACACAATGCTGAGTTCTCCATGGACGAGATCTAGTGTCCGTTGACCTATATGGGTTCGTTTTTATGGAATTTGTTTTAATAAAAAATGTATGAGAAGTTTGTCAGGAAATAGAAAAATATCCATATTAGAGGTGTCTGTATGAAAACGATGTCCATATTAGAGCTGTATCCGTATTAGAGAGCTGTCCCCGTATTAGAGAGGTGTCCCCTTATTAGAGAGGTATCCGTATTAGAGAGGTATCCGTATTAGAGAGGTGTCTGTATTAGAGAGGTGTCTGTATTAGAGAGGTGTCCGTATTAGAGAGCTGTCCCCTTATTAGAGAGGTGTCCGTATTAGAGAGGTGTCTGTATTATTATCCCATACCTGTGTTAAAAGCGGCTTTCTGATTGGTTTAGAGCAGGTGAGCTTGTCGTCGAGCTCACCTGCTTTTTGCCGAACTCACCTGCTTTTCGCCCGAACTCACCCGCTAAACTGTTTACGTTGCAATATTAAACAATAACAAATATGGCGGACAAGATTTAGCCGATAAACCTAAACTTTAAAGAACTTTTTTCGGTGACTAACATACTGAGACTGAAGAAAAACCAAAGAAAAAATGCATTAAAGGTAATGTAGACGTAGCTAAAGAAGTATTTTCTTGCCCAGTGATTTTTTTGGCCGGGAAAATGTTCACAAAACATCGACGAATATATCGCGAAGAGCTACAAATGTGTGTATGGCTTGGTGTATGGGATAAAAACCAAACGTACTTGCAGGTTCGGTGAGTCCGGCATTGGACGCACCTCGGGTGGCTGGAAGTTTCCCGAACTCACCTCGCTTCGCTCGGTAAGTTCGGGAAACTTCCAGCCACCCTCGGTGCGTCCAATCCCGGACTCACCTCCCTGCAAGTACGTTTGTTATAGAGAGGTGTCTGTATTAGAGAGGTGTCCGTATTAGAGAGCTGTCCCCTTATTAGAGAGGTGTCCGTATTAGAGAGGTGTCTGTATTAGAGAGGAGTCTGTATTAGAGAGGAGTCTGTATTAGAGAGGTGTCTATATTAGAGAGGTGTCTATATTATAGACGTGTTTGTAGTAGAGAGATGTTTATATTAGAGAGCTGTCTCCGTATTAGAGAGGTGTCCCCTTATTAGAGAGGTATCCGTATTAGAGAGGTATCCGTATTAGAGCGGTGTCTGTATCAGAGATGTGTCTGTATTAGAGAGGTGCCCGTATTAGAGAGCTGTCCCCTTATTAGAGAGGTGTCCGTATTAGAGAGATGTCCGTATTAGAGAGCTGTCCCTTTGTTAGAGAGGTATCCGTATTAGAGAGGTGTCTGTATTAGAAAGGAGTCTGTATTAGAGAGGTGTCTATATTATAGACGTGTTTGTATTAGAGAGAAGTTTGTATTAGAGAGGTGTCTGTATTAGAGAGATGTCTGTATTAGAGAGGTGTCTGTATTAGAGATGTTTGTATTAGAGAGATGTTTGTATCAGAGAGGTGTCTGTATTAGAGAGATGTCTGTATTACAACCTCGTACTCAGGGTCTTTCCTCTTGGAACGAAAGGACCTTGTGATCTGCTAAAATCTGTCAGATTTCTATTTAACTACCTTGGATTCCTGTGCGACAATCATACAAAATGCAAATTTTGAATTAAACTATAAAAATCACCCAAATATTTATCGACCTCATCTTGGATTGCTAATTAGAAATCTGCTAGATTTTAGCAGATCACGTGACCAGCATCTACCAGGGTCTTTTCTCCCCAAGAGGAAAGACCTGGGTACGAATTGTCTGTACTAGAGCCATAGATATCTTATATACACTACAGTGTGTATCAAAATAATTCGAATCCAAATTTGGCGTGTAATAACGCAGAATATATTTGACAAATTCGGTTGGTTTTTACACCATTGTTAAGTTCATTTATTTACCTTTCAAATGACATGTTGTACGCGTCATTTAGTTGGAAAATGAAGGAGTATTGCTTTGACAAAAAAAGTCCATAAAAATCACAATTTTCCGCCGATGGGAATTGGACATTTTTTCTTTCAAAGTTAGTCCCACGAGGCTTTGAAATGCTAATCATCACTGAAAACTAAAATGCAAATTTAACGCGAATTTCTTCTCGTTCAACATGTTGAAGGCATAGGAGCTTAAATCTCTTTAAATGAACACGAATTTATGTAAATTTTTCTACATAACAGTTTGTTGATTAATTAAATTTGCATTATCTTTTGTTTGTACGTCTCACTTCGAATTCCCATCGGCGGAAAAATTTGATTTCGAGCAACCAGTTTTAACACACGATTTCTTGGTCATTTTTGATCTTATTGATATAAGAACGATATAATCGGAAACCTAATAGGCTATTCTTTATTGCCATATAAAAATTATATGGTTTACTTTAGTATTTTATAAACAGCAGTCTGTCAAATTTGGATTCGAATTATTTTGATACACACTGTAGATAGTGCATCTAATTATTCTACAATTCAAAAATTGAAGCCGTGATTGCAGTCTCAGGTCGTTCCCATGAAATGAGAGATTTGTATATTTCCCATTTCTTAAACAGGGAACTTAAATATTAAGTTAACCCTATTCCAAATACATTTTAAACTATTCAAATGATGAAAGTTATTGCTGTTTTAAAGCGTTTATTAGCGAGTGGGAACCATTGAACATGGCCGCCATCTATTCAAATGGGGGTAACCGCTGGAGTATTCTTGACTTCAATTTTACTAAAACAGATGTGCTATCTAGTGTATATAAGATATCTATGATTAGAGCTCTGTATTTGAGAGGTGTCTGTTTTTGCACACTTTTTTTTAAATTTATCACACGCATGACTGTTTTTATGCATGATTCATTTCGTACATACTCGCTACAAAAAATACAACGGACCATATCCCTATTAACGGTTATTAGTTAAAATAGTAAAAGTAACAAAAAAAGGAAGGGTTTTTGTCTATATATTTGTTATTACTTTATTCCTAATTTCTACATGCACAAATTAACCTAAATTAAACGAAGAAACTGGGAATTTTTATACCCTCAACTATTTTGCCTAGATAATTATGTGTATTTATATGAAGGGTTTAATTTGAGTAAATCTACAGTTGTATTGTTAATGAGTAGTTCTTATCATAAGAAAGTTAGGTTTATAAAGAAAGCTTCACACTGATAGGGATACAACTACCTGAAAATACAAGACGAAGGGACTTCGCTGGAAACGTCGATGTTCTCCTTGTATTTTTCAGGTAGTTGTATCCCTATCAATCCAAGACTTTCTTATCATTGCCACTACCTACACTATACATTGTCGTCGATGATGCGTACTTTGTCATTTGCACCAGTCAAAAATACATTCAGTCTCCAGGTTTGTGACTTGGGTATTTGGATGTGAAATTGTTGACCAGTGGGCAAATGTAGTGACAGCTTGGCAGCATCGCAATCCAAGACTAACTCAACCGTGTCGCTTTGTTTCGTAACATTTTGTAAAGCATTATCAATCGTATGTGACCCGTCTTTCCATACTTGACCATGCTGCCCAAGTGCCCATCCATGTGAACCAGGCCATTGATATGAATAGTTGTTCGGTGGTACAACATCCGCTTTCGCTATTCCAACCAACATCCAATCATTATTTTTAAAGGACTCCAACTTCAATTTGAAACGAACAATGCCTTGTTGGTGAACATTTTCTCCCAGAACATAACTATGTCCAACATTTGGACCATGAACTGCAACTGTCCCGCCTTCCTGGAGAGTAACTCCACGGCTGCTATGTCGATTGAATTTCTCGCTAGGCACTTTTTCAGCGGGCATGATTTCATCGCTTAAACCAAGGTATTCCAGAAGATTATTAAAATTTTTTGCTTGGTCTTCCGGGACTTTCGGCAATGTCGCGGGATTCTCTGGTGTGGCAATTTTCTTCGCGCGCAGGTAATCTAAGATAACCACGAAATACTGGGGGTTGAAATCGAAAAATATGGCGCCATCTTTATCGCGCTGGAGACTGTCCTCCCAACGTCCACTGAACATTGAGGCGAGCAGCGAACCTTCTACTTGACAAAGAGTAGATCTCTTGGTGGTTAATTTGTGACCACCAACGTTGAGTTCTATTATATCGTTGTCGCTGACTTCGACGGCTTTCATTCTTTGCTTCTCTGCGTTGTAAGCGTCTGGTTCCGCCTTCATTTTGGGTCGCTCCCCTTCAATAATATCGTTGAATTCGTTCCTGAATCGTTTCTCCATGTCATCGGATTTCGCTAATAAATATTCACCGCTCATTTTGTCGCGTTTTAAATACACTTAGAATGATTTTGAGTTTGATAAATGACGCCAACACAACTTTGAATGTACGTAACGAGAGAACAAGGCAAGTTCGTATTCCTTGTAAAAGCAATTTATTCTGGGAAAATAATATTGCGAAATCTGCTTTCTTTTTTATTATGCAAATACTGACAAACATGATAAATGGTTTCCTGTTTCATTATGACAACTATTATTAACTGCTGAATATTTTACGGACCTTTGACCTGAATTTGTGTCTGTAGTGATTCTAGTGGTATTCAGTGAATATCAGTGAAAGCTCGATTTACGCTACGAAAAATAACCCAGGTTCGATGTAAGTTAACTTTAACCAATGTGAGGTTTTTGAAATGTAGAAAAAAAGCCTGTCTAGGGTTTCAGCAGGGTTAGTTTGAACCATATTCTAGAGGCTAGTTCAAACTAACCTGAGTCCAGTCTATGTTAAATTTCGTCGCGTAAATCGAGCTGAAATTGAAACTCAATGTATACAAATCTGTTTTGTGCGTAGAAATTTATGAAGAATTCAAAGCATTAAGGATTTCAAGAATTATAAATTGCAGAATTCTCGAATTTTTATCTGGTTAAATTTCAAGCACAAATTATGTGATTTACGTTCGTCGAGCGGAAATCACATACAGTTCAGGATTTTGGGGGAAAACGAAAGAAATTCAGAAACTTTTATGAGAGCCTGTTTTAAACAAATGCTTTTATTAAACATCAATATGAAAGATTTTACTACCTATGAAAACTAAAACAATATTTTACTGGTATATAAACCTAAATATTTTGTCCATATATTTGTTATTACTTGATTCTTAATCACTACATGCATTAGTTAACCTAATAAAACAAACAATGACTGCATGCCACTATAATTCTATAACTCAACTTTGATAATGCTCACTTTGTTATATGCCGCATACAAATTTACATAAAGTCCTCAATTTAGCTAAAGTTCATAATCATATTGCAAGGACTTGGATATATTTACAAAAAAAGACAAAAAACACGTTTCCATTTGAAATGGTCAGACCAGCCATGCTGGGCACAATTTCTCTCTCTTATAACCATTAATTAAGCTGCAATGTGCCAAAATGCGCCCTACTTTAGTATTTTACTCTGTCTAATGCCAGATGAATATACTCGTCAAGGGGAAAGTCTTGCATACTATAACTGGTTATATTTTCAAGCAAGATCTGGGCCAAGTTTTCGCACGTCTGATCAAAATGGACCTCATGTTGATTTGATCTAAATTTTTCCGTCAGACCAATCTCAGAAGCGAAAGTTTTGTATTCCATTTAATGGATCTAACCAGTCTGACAGTTGAATGATAAAGAAATTCAGATTTGACTTTCACTACTACTACCTCTCACTGATTGGTTAATTTGATATATCAGATTAACCAATCAGATGCGTTTGATATATCAGATTAACCAATCAGATGCGTTTGATTTATCAGATTAATCTGAAATATCAAACGCATCTGATTGGTTAAAGCGCCCAAAGTCTTTAATTTGATTATTCGTTTATGATGCGTAGTCTGTCACTTGGATTAAGCAAAATTACATGCAGTCTCCAGGTTTGTGACTTGAGTATTTCGATGTGAAAATGTTGACCAGTGATCAAATGTAATGACAGCTTGGCAGCATCGCAATCCAAGACTAACTTAACCGTGTCGCCTTGTTTAGTGACATCTTTTAAAGCATTAT